GAAACAGTTTAGAGGGGGGTGTGTGTGCTGATCAAAAAGTTTGGGCCTCTTCATTAGCAAGAGGAAATAAGTAGCAGAGAGGGAGAAGGAAAAAAATTAGCTAACAGATAGTACTCTGGTGACACAGTATTGTGCGATATGTTATCTGTGATATTTTCTTCTAAAAAGTTTGGACCTGGGCATATATTTTATTGCTCACTGTTTTTAGGCTCACCAAATCACTCTTTCTGATGCTTAATCCACCAGTTTGCTTTGTTTTGAGCTGGGTGTTCTGGGGTTTGAAAGAAATGGGAGTCATGGTCACTGACCCAGAAAAACATATGGGCTGGTCAAAGAGAAGGTGCTGGTAAAAAGAGCATGAAGTAAGAGCATTTGCAATTAAGTGCTGCATGAAGTGGCAATGACGACCCGTGCTTGGGGGTTCAGAGAAAGTGGAATGCCAGTGCTGGAGAAGCTGGCGTTGGAGTTGCAGATCGGGATAGGGAGGCCTGGAGGTGCTGGGGCCAGAAGTGGCAAGAGCGGTGTGGGTAGAATTCGGAGAGACTCACCTCTATAAACACCTTGGTTCTGTGAGCCTGGGACCAGCAGGGGGAGCACAAGGTAATAAACAGCTTTGGTGTGAGAACTCGACTGTGCTCTTCGGAGCTCCAGGAAAACAACTGGGATCACTCACTGCTGCCTTCCTCCCTTACCTGCACCTGCAGTTTTCCACCGCCTACCATGTCTTGCTTCCCTGCTCACTTACAAAACTAGTGCAGGGTAAGTGCAGAAACAAACCCCAAACCAAACTAACCAAGAGAGCCCGCAAGCGAACACAGCAAATCCAAACTAGGACAAAACAGTAACATTTACTTCTTAAATGTTCTTTCAGCAACTTCAGTCCTCTGGCCTCCCAGTGTTTTGAATAGTCAGGTGAAAAGCAGAACTCCCAGAGTGTTGTATACCTCAGAGTCTGTCACTGGAACATTCTCTCTTCCTTGGGGGAGGTGAGCTATTTAACAAAATATAGCAAATTAAGGACTGTTAGAAAGGAGACTTGGGGAACTCTTGTGATATTGATAAGGCTTCAGTGGCGAACATAAAGAAGGCGGCAGCCCCATGTTTATCCTCATCCGAACCACTTCAAGTTTTTAGCTACTTGGGCACACGTGGCCATAGATGTGTTCGAGTGAGGCTCCAGCTTAACTGAGCTGGCTCTGTCCGGCTGTCCCTGCCCCTCGCATGAGTCTTCCATCTGTTCGTCAAAGAAACACAACTCTGCCTGCCTTGGGACCTTTGCACATGCTGTTTCCACTGAAACCTCACTCTGCATCTCCTCCTCCACCTTTGTTTTGCCTAGTTAATTCCAACACAGCATTCACAGCCAACTCAGACGTCACTTCTTAGGAAAGTCTCCCATAACCTACTGACCAGGTATGTCTGCTGCACATTTTCAAGGCATTTTGTACTTTTTATTCACCACATTTAACAAAGTTTGTAATTGCACGTGCGTATGTGTGTGACTATTCCACTCGCCACCCTTCCCCTCACTTATTGAAAGCCCTGGGATGCAGGGACTGTCCTTCCACATGCCATTGGCTCCTCAGCATGAGATACAGTGCCTGGTACCTAATAAAACTCAATAACCACTTATTTATTGGATTAAAAAAAGGACAATAATTATCAATGGCTAACACGAGGTGTTCCATCCTGCTAGGGGATATGGGAGTAGGAAGAAGAATCAAGACTTGGAGGACAGTTTCCTTTCCATTAATATTGGTTTCCAGCAAACTCACAGTTATTAACAACCACACCTAAAACAAAAGCAAACTAAGAGGACAGCTAGATCAGGAGCAAACCATAGAAATGAAGATCACATGGAGGGTTAGCAACAGGGGAGTGGGAGAAGGAGAAGGGGGGAGAAGGTACAGAAAATAAGTAGCATAGATGGTAGGTAGAAAATAGACAGGGGGAGGGCAAGAATAGTAGGGGAAATATAGAATCTAAAGAACTTGTGACACATGGACATAAACGAAAGGGGGGGATGGTGGGGGAGGGGTATGCAGGGTGGAGGGGAATGAAGGGGGGAATAGGACAACTGTAATGGCATAATCAATAAAATATATTTTAAAAAACAAAACAAAAAAAGACTTGGAGAAGACAGTAACATCAGAAAGGCCTTGACAAAGACTTGTTTTTAAAGAGAGGAGTGAAATGGGGAGGAAGGTGGGAAGGGCCCTGGGAGAGAGACTGAGCAGGGGAGTGTGCACAGTGTTGCTGACAGCTGTGTGGGGACATGTGGCAGAATATGTGGGGATATTGCCCTATGCCTCAGTAGGTTGAAGCCCCAATCATAGTTCAATGGACTATAATCTAAAGAATGTTACTGATTACGCTATTCTTTCTCCACTGGCCTCCCACTCCCGAAATTCATTCTACACTCTTTATGTCCTGCTCAGTGTCCTTGAGGCCGACCCTAGCTTCTGACTGGATTTGGGCATTGGAAGGCACTGGGTTGGATTGGTGGGAGGGCGGGAGGAGAGAGAAGATGGGTGCACATCCCTGTTGGCAGCTGCACCTCTGCATCTCCCAAGCTCTTGCTCTGTGGTCCTCACTCTTGGCCCAGCTCTTACCTACCGATCTCAGGAAACCACTTCCTACCTTCACTGCATCAGTCTCCTGTCTCTATGTGCCTCTCTGCTTGTTCTTCGGTCTTTGTTTGTTTCCTTAATTCTGCTTACTCCTCTGTCAGGAGCCCTTTCTTTCAAGTCTCCTCATTTGAACTATCCGGAGACAACTCTGTTTCGTGCTGAGACCCTGACTCATGCACTTACTTTCTCCAAGGCACTTGCTTACATGTTGCATTTTGGTTCAGTGTTAGGGACAGGACCACCTGCCAACAGGCAATGTGATTACAACTGGCCATTTGTCTAGATTCTCATTAGAAGCATCCTCTTCACCTCTGGCCAGCACATTGGCCATTAGATTCTTGGCTGTCAATAGAGGGAAAGGTGTCTCTTTCCACTTCTACTCTGCATGTGAGGTTACACTGTTAATGACCTGGTCCCAAATCTAAAATCTGTGAGTGAAGGTATGGGACTTAGGAAACCCCAAGCTGACAGGGGCATGGAGAATAGAGCCATTAGCAGGTAAGAGTGTTTATTAGATATCCCGTCTGCAAAATTTAGGTCACCATTTTTTAAACTGGATTACTTCATTAGCTACCTCACTTACCTAATTTATTTTGCTGGTGCAAACCCTGGGTCTAACTGCTTCCCTTCCCCCCCCCAAAAAAAAAAGTATAGCAAAGTAGAACAGGAGGATATAGGTATAAGAGACAAATCTCTCCTGGTTCCAGTTCTATTTTGATATTATTGGCTAGTTAGATTTTCCTCCTTAGACATATTGAACGTATACCTGTAGATCTATAAAATGTCCAATTAAGAAACCAAATGAAAGTGTTCAGGACCCAACTCGGTTACACTGATACATAATGTAAGGCCTTAAAAAATAGAGAATCATTTAAATATGTTTTTAAACTTATGGCACAATATTTCTTCTGACACTCCCCTCACCCAACTCTCTGCCAGATACCCAGCACAAAAAAAATACTAAGAGTGAATTTTCTAAATTAGGAATTGAGAAATGACCCACTTACAGAAAATCAAATGCAGTCTCTCTCGTGTTCTTCAAGTACTCGAAGAAAATATACAGAGGGCTCATTTTAGACTCTGCTACGAAAAGGGATCACGCTTGATCCGTGGAGTCCTGCTCACTAAGGAAGCCTTTGCATGTAGGATGGGATTTTGGAATAGAAGGCTCAGGGGCCTGGATCCTATCTGCACTTGGGCTTAATGGGACTGGGCTTAATGTCACCAGAATTCAAAGACCTGAAGGACAGAAATATGGTGGGGAGTGAAGGTGGAATGGTGACCTGATTGCTTATTCTAATTTTAGTTTCCTTCAGATTATTTTACAGAAAATCTTGTGTTATACAACTTGTACCTTCCTGTAACTAGACTCATTTTTTTCTGAGGTTATACAATGGTTTCTCTCGCATTCCTGAGGAGCAGTTCCTACTCAGAGGCCATTGTCTCTAATCCCAGGGCTTCACAGGGTGCTGACGCGCCCCTCCCTCCACTCCCTGTGTGCCAGCCTCCCCCTCTCTCAGTCAACAGTGGGGAGAAACAGATAAATAGAAATGTCTGGACTGTGCCAGAATGAAACCTCCTTATATTTCCCATAACCAGTATCCCCATCCTTTTCTATCTCAAGAGGTGTATAGCTAAAGGAAAATTAATATTTTTACAGTTGTTCTGGAGCCTTGGCCGCATGTAAGGGACTGTTCACAGTGCTGACTTCTAAGCATGTTGACTACGCGTCACAGCAGAAATTCACTTAAGTAATAATTCCAAGCCTTGCTGTGTTGGTGCTCCAGGGTGACTAGACTCACTTCAAGGAGAGTCAAAAGATGCTTGAGAGAAATTATTTAAAATTTGGTTTCATTTTGACACATAGACCAATTAGTTGTAATGGCCTGGGAGTCAGAAGAATAGCTCCATTTCTGCTGTGAGCATGTGCAATTCAAGGCTGTTCCCTGAACTCTTCTGAGCATCACGTTCCTCTGTGTGAGCTAAAACGTTTGGATGCAAGACTTTTGCACTGCACAACTGCAGGGGGCGCTATTCACATTGCAGTCTATGTGGTGCTTTAGGGAGGCTCCATTTCCATAGGCCACAGTGAGAGCCATGTCCTTCGGAACAGTGCATTGCTGAGACCTAGGCTTGACCTCTAAATCAATAAATACCAATTAAGTACCCATTATGTGACCAACAATAGAGAGCCATGTGCAAGGCAAAAGGCATGGTGCAAAGCATTCCAAGTAGGGAGAGGACACCTACTAGAGGGTGAAAATTATTTCACATATGTGTTCATGTACTTGTTTCACAGACATATGTTAAGAATCTAGCAAGTGCCAGAAATTGTGCTAGGTTAACCCATGTGTTTTCTCTGAAATTCAGCTCATATCAGACTTTCTTCATGAAGACCCAATCCCTCCCTCAAGGAGCTTACCAGCTTATGGAGAATAAACAGGAGCTTGTGGTAAGTACCACAGTAGCTGCATGAGCCTGAGATTTTTGGATTATCTGATGTTTTATATTATTCATATATTTATTTTCTCTTGTGATGAGTAATTGAGATGTCACCATACTTCAACTAACATTTATTGAAGCATTGTTAAGAATGCAAAGGTGGGTGCCATGTAATGTGTGCTGTTGAGAGTTAGGGAAGTTGGGCAGATTTGAAAAGAACACAAATAGGCGTTGTTAAGGACTCAGTGTTGTGCTATAGGATTCTGAGGGGAAGGAGGAGGGGGGGGAGAGAGAGAGGGAGGGAGGGAGGGAGGGGGAGGGAGGGAGACAGGAGGACACTCAAACTTCTTGGCTTAGAGAATCAAAAAGGTCTCTTTGCAGGACATGCCATAAGATGACTCATTCTTGTTCTTCCAGGGTTGGCCTGGTGACTGTAAAACTCTTTCACAGCTCCTGGCACTTTGCCTTGATAGCATGTCTCCCAGTTATTGCACATTATTTTATTATTTGAATAATGTCTATGCCTAGATTGTCTAGAATGATGTCTAGATTGTAAGCTCTTTGAGGGTAGAGACTGTGTCCTTTCTGCTCACTATGGTATTCCCAGGGTCTTGAATGGTGCCAGTTTAGAAGGCAGTCAAAAATATCTTTTTTTTTTTTCTTTAGAGGGGAGGGGAGGAGAGAGAGAGAGAGAGAGAGCCATAAAAAATGAATGAATGAGTGGGCACTGAAGAATAGGTAGAAATTGGGGCGGAGAAGAAGTCTTTCAGGTGGAAAGAGCAGTTTGGACAATTGCTGTGGTGGGCCCACAGTGGCCCACCACTGATCCTTAGAGACTTTAAGAACGTTAGAAATGGCAACTACCTCTGATCCTCTGACTGAATGACCAGAGGGCATATTAAGAGAGACTGTGGCAGGTGCACAGAGAATCTCTAACCTCTCCTCCACAAACTCAAGAGAGATCGATCATCCCTGATTTTATTTAAGCTCTTTTTGAACCTAGTAGGTGCTCATTAAATATTTGAAAATGGAATTAGAGCACAGATGAATATACTGATGTTTTCTGTCCAACAACTTTATGGAATAACAAGCTCTCATTACCTCCCCCTGCCCCCTCCTGATTCTCACTTAAGCCATGTCTCTACACTGTGAGAAAAATGGTGCAATATGGGGGAAGAAAAGCAGGGCATCTGGTTCACCAGATATGCATATGGCCACAGCATATGGCAAACCCAGGGCATTTGACCATTGTGCTCATTAGGATGTGCCGGCAAACCGGATGCCGTGCATTCACTGTGTCTGTGTCGTTTTTCTCTCAGCATGTCGACCTGGTGTTAATCATCAGGACATACTTGCCTTTCTTCTGCAAATCACTTCCTCCACTCCTTTCACCTCAGATTTCTTCTGAAATTCCTTCCTCTTTTGCAAGTACTTTCAACTGGCCAGTAGCCTTCAAGGCTTGCAAGGCTGATCTTACTCTACAGATCCCACTAACGATATCAACAAATTATACAATGGACAAAGAGCCAGAACGGCAGCTCAGCACCCTTCTTCTTAGGGGGCAAGAAGGAAATGCAAGGTTTGTTTGCATTAAGGTGTTAAGGAAAATAGTCTATTTTGCTCAGAGTCTGGGATAATTAATTTTGCACAGAAAAAAAAAGAGAAAATTCAACCCACCCCAGGACCCCTGATTTTTCACTCAGGGACTTGACAACTTCAGGAAGAGGAGGCCAGGGAGAGTACAGCTCACTCACAAAACAAAACAAAACAAAACAAAACAAAACAAAACAAAACAAAACAAAACAACAAGCAATTCAAATGACTGAGAGCAGATCAATCTTTGAACGTGAGTTCCTCATTCATTTTGCATATTTGATAGTTTCCCTCTACAATGTCCTGGCTCCAGCTTTTCCAGGTCCATTGATGTTTCTATTCCCCTCCCTGCACACACTCTATCCACCCTCCCTCCCCTGCCCCGCTTCTCTACTGAAATTTTTCTTTGCTGCAATTGTTGGTCACAGCAGCACCATTCATTTAGTACATTTGCGAGTGCCGTCGTTGTCCAGGTTGTTCTTCTCCTGTTGCATTTTGAAAACTGAGAAATGAGATCAGAGCTCACATTAACCCCAATGTTACCCCCTTGTGCTTTTCATTCACTGCTTTTCTTTGTTTATAATCTTTCAGCAAATTTTCAATCCATATGATGATATTCGCATCCAAGTCCATTAGAACCTGTTTCACAAAGTAGACTGACCGATGACTTCTGTCAATCTTTTCTTGAATTACAGCTGTATACTGTTGATACACATTCACTTTTTTCTAGATATACTTTATTCCTTTCATCTGCTATTAACTATCAAAAAAGTAACAAATTTGTCCGGAAGGATTTATTCTTCACATAGTTCTCTTCTCTTTCTAAGCATTGCTGATGATTTGATTGAACTCAAAATAGTTACAGATTTTTCTCATTTAATACCCATTCCATTATTTCAAGGCAGGAAAAGTCTGTACTTTTCTTTTAAATAGTTTTATAGACAAAGTGAAAGATTTTTCATTCTTGCTTCAAATTCATTGTGAAAACAGAAGGCAGTTTTCCCAGATGGAAATCTGTCATATCATTATGGAAATGTCAGATTTCCACCCGGGGCATATTGACAAAAAGCCATAGTTTTTGCCCAGGGGGTGGAATTTCACAAAATTTCCCAAGAAGAGCTGCCTTCCTTGCTAGAAGACAGAGACAATTTTTCCCCCATTTCAGATTTAGGAGACTGAGCTCTAAGAGATTGGTTTCAGGCAAATACCCAAAGAGGAAAAAAGAAGATTTTAGCTTCCCCATTGCTGGCCATGAGGCCTTGGCAAGTTCGTGAGTCAATCATGGCTGTATTTGCTTTACTGGCATAGTTACCCTGAGCTGTAACTCTATTGGCAATATCACATAATGCGGGTATGTCATGTTGCTGAACAGAGGAGAGATTTTATTCTTTAACTTACCTGATTTTGCCATCGTAAATATCTCCCCTTTACTTAATAGATATGCTCTTCTTAAAGTCTCTCTTAACTTTGGTAAGTGTATTTTTTTTCTCCTGGGAATGGGTCGTTTTAAACCTCCATTAGTGAAGTATTCATGCATGCATTAGAAATATTAGCAAATCATGTCCACATTAATGAATGATAGGACATTTAGAGGAAAATAAAACAATCCCCAAACATTTTCATACATTTATAGTCATCAGAATGACACACTTTAAATAGATGAAGGAGATTTGTGAGTGGCATAAGTCATGGCAGAAATAGCCTTGGGACATGAGTTACTCTATTCTATTACGTAAAAGTCTCCCTGCCTTGTCTAATAGCCGAGCAGATTAGCAAGTACAATGCAAGGGATCTATATATTTTTCTAAACTAAAGATTTGCTGTTCTCAACAAAAACCCTCCTCCAAAGATTACACCAGTATAGGTACTCAGCTTCATTAATGTAAATGACTCCAATGTATGTATTTCCCTAGCAGAAATACCTGCATTTAAAAAAATGCAGCAATAACTTCAAACTTCAAAGGTCTAAACTTCAAAAGGTTTCTTGCATTCTGCTTGATGGGACAGCATCTTATGCACACATGCTTTTTTCCCTGCTAAATGCCTTAATAATGAGCTTGGGTTCAGATTTTGTGAATCAGAGCCAAGTAACTCTATTTTATTATATTTGCTGGGAAATGAACTAGCTCAGGGTAATTAGGAGAGCAATTTTATTAGCTTCTATTTCATAAAGATTGTTTTTTAATCAGAGTCAGAACTTAGTAGAAATGATTCTGTGCTCATTGCTTGGGTCTCAGGAAATGAAGTGAGGCCCCGCAGGTCCTAACCCACAGCAAAACCAATGTGACGAAGGCAGAAGCTTTGCTCTTAATCTCTAACAATGCTGTAAAAATAAACCCGATCTGATGGTGTTGTCAATAAAAGGGTCACAGCTAACGGTTACCTGCATCTAGTTGATTATAGACTAGAGCCTGGATATCTGAAAGAGTTTAAACTTTCTTTTAATTGACCAAGGAGTCCTGGGTTCAAGTTGTGAACAGTCCCGGTGTGGGGGCTCTTGGGTGAAGGGGTGGGTAGGAAGAAAAATAAAACACCAGATTAGGTGAATATGTCTTCAAGAGACAAATGAGAGTAGGAATTGGGACTGATGGTGTATTTAGATAATGTAGTGCAGCTGTGAAAAAGACAAATGCTCTACTGGGGCGCACGGCATCTAAGGGGGGTGTCGAGTATAGGAAAATGGAATTCCTGTAATAATGCCTCTCCTGGCAGCCACTTATAGAGCATGGCATACTGTTTGGGGCACCTCATTATAAGGAGAACATCAATACTGTAAATTAGAGAGAACTCAGAGAAGGGTGACAAAAAAGATAAAAGGATTAGGAGAGATGACCTATAAAGAAAGGTTAAAGGAACATAACATTTAACGCTTTCAGGAAGAGGAGCTGGAGAGATGGAAGCCTATGCTAACTGTCTACAAATATTTGAGCAATAATAATTTTAAGGAAAGCCGGGGATTGCTTGCCGTGGTTGAGAACGGTCTAATAAGAAGTAACGGCTTGAAACTAAGATAAGGGGAAGCTGTCGGTTAGGAGACATTAGGAAAAATTCTTCCCAGTAAGGGCAATTAGGCACTGAAGTGAGCTCCCTGCGAGGTGGCTGAGGCCCCATCACTGCCCATGTGGCATGTATCGAAGGGGAGCTTAAACGCTCAGGAAGTTCCTCTGAACGGAAAGAAAGCTGCCTGTTTTCTGAGGACGTTCCTGTACTGGAGAACAAGCCTAGAAAAACCCAGGTCTTGCCCAATGGCCCCAACTGTAATTTAAAGTTTGTGGTGTGTACAGAGTGTGGGAGTGGATGAGTAAATATCTCACAAGAGAAAAGCCCATCCTATGTGGATGGCAAACATCTTTCTGAAAAGCTGTTATTTTCTACTGTGGGTCATTAGTGTTGGTGTTCCTCATTTCCCTTTTCAGT